AATACACATTATTAGGCATCTGCTAAGGTAATAGGGTAGTGTTATATATCAGGTTAACATTAATATAATAGAAAGGCGATATGCTGAAAGTGTTTTGTAACTAGAAATTATTATATACAGTATATTTATCATTAAATCTCATTCAGCCTTAAAAAAATGAAATTCTATTACATGCTACAATGTGGATGAACCTTGAGGACATTATGCTAAGTGAAAGAAAGGCATAAAAGGACAAATATTACATGATTCCACTTATGTGAGGAACTAGAATAGGCAAATTCATAGACACAGAAAATAGAATAGAATTTACCGGAAGCTGAGAAGACGGAAGAATGAGAGGTTATTGTTCATTGGGTACAAAGTGTCTATTTGGGATGATGTGAAAGTTCTGGAAATGGAGAGTGGAGATGGTTACTCAATTTTTTTGAAGTACCAGTGAATCATGGTAGATACTTAAAAATGGTAAAATTTTGTTATTTATATTTACTTTATCACAATAAAAATCTACTATCAAATAAAGTACAGATGTGCCTCATATTAGGCATATTATGATGAAGTTCCCACAAAATTGCACTCATTTTAGGAACTTCCATGTGCGGTTATTTCATAGTTGAGGGAACGTTAAGAAAGCAGCAGCTTACGTTGTCCTCGAATTTTCTCTCCCCACTCTCTGTCTTTGCTTTTTCTAGATCAATGTGGTTCTTGTCACACCTCTCTGAGCACCAGCACCAGCAGGAACCAGGCGAGCTGGTACTCCTCAAGGCCATAGGAAGCCCGGAATCTGAACGCATTTTTATGCTGGCAATCATTTTAGAAACTAGGAGGGCTGGACATACCTTGTCATTTTTTCCTTAACTTGGCAAAAGCAAATCTTTCACTGCAGACAGCATTGCCAGAAAGAAACAGGGATTTTGAGGCAGAAACACGTCCGTCCTAAGAAACTGAATACATTTTAGAGTAGAACTCACCACTCAACTGCTAGGGAAGCTCTTGGGAGTATTTGGAGGTGTGATCCCTCTGCGTCTGGGAACCGTCTCCCTTTGGGGAAAATGGTTTGGGCAGGAACAACCTACGCCAGTCACGTGGGAAGTGCAACATTCAGGGCTCCTTCTGGGATTCCTTTCTCCTGCCTGGCTGCTCTCACAGGCACCTGCCTCTTGGTATGTCAGCGCCTTAGAGCCAGTGTTAGCACAGAGCTCCCTTTGGGCCTACCGTGTGGAGGGCAAAGAACGAGGAGCAGAAATGTCTGGGCTAAGGGAGGACATGGGTGTTGTCAAAGGGAGCTCAGAGCGATGTTCTCAAACAATTCTCTAAGGAGAGCTTTCTTGGAGCCTCACACACCCACAATGTATGCAAAATTGTGTTTGATACACCTGCAATGTATGCAGAACTCTGTGTGTGTGTGTGTGTGTGTGTGTGTGTGTGTGTGTGTGTGTGTTTCAACCACCCACAATGTATGCAGAATTGTGTTTCACACACCCACAAGGCATGCAGAATTCTGTGTGTGTGTTTCACACACCAGTAAGGTATGTAGAATTCTACGTGTGTGTGTGAAGCATATTACTCAAATGTGCATCCCTCGTGGCAACAGGAACGGGCATTTGGGCTGAGCACAGGGCTTTGCAGGGAGCCCCTAGGACAAGGGGTGAGCACCCCCCATGGAGAGGCTAACTTAAGGGAATTAGTGGGAAACTAGATAAAGAAGCATTACAGCCGAAACCGGTTTGGCTCAGTGGATAGAGCATCAGCCTGCCGACTGAAAGATCCCAGGCATGTACCTTGGTTGGGAGCACATCCCCAGTGGGGGGTGTGCAAGAGGCAGCTGATTGATGTTTCTCTCTCATCAATGTTTCTAACTCTCTATCCCTCTCCCTTCCTCTCTGTGAAAAATCAATAAAATATGTATTTTTTAAAAAAAGAAGTATCACAGTGTCTGGTACATATAACTTAGTAACAACCTTCAAACCCAAGTATTTTTAAATAACAAACATATATACACAGTGACCAGGGTGATGTTACAGGAACCTGGCGATCAAGAGGCTATGAGAACTTCCAAGACAGAGCTTTCCTACCCATTCTCAGGAGGGCCCTGGTTAAACAGGAATGGCCTTTCTTCCTTGGCCCTATTATTCCTACTTTCTTTCCTTCCCATTTCTTAAAATCTCTTAGGCCATTTGACTCTAGCTTCCGGTACTCATGCAGCACCAGACATGTCTTTGTTCTGAGAGGGAACAGGGACTCGGACATTTGTACTAAGTTCCTTACAGCGCCCAGCGCCCCAGGCTGAATGCTTGGTAGGAGGTTGGAAAGCCGCAGACTGACTCCAGTTCCGCCCTGACAAACCTACAGAAGCGCCTGGGTCACTCTGCACCCACTAGCGCATATCAGCCTATTTTCATCTCTCCATTGCTGAGCACCAGGCAATTAACTTCTCCTTTCCCTCAGAGACGGTGACAGAAAAGAAAAGAAAGTCCTAAAGCCAGCGTTAGTCAGAAATCATAGGGAGATTTCTCTTTAGGGCTCTGAATCCATACGCTCTCCTCAGAGAGTGACCCCTTAAGTGTAAGTATCTTTCTCGGTTGCACGGGATTGAAAAATCACATTTTCTAACTAGTTTTCTTTCTTTCTGAAAGGCTCCTCCGGTCCCTGGCTCAGTGGCTTCTTCTCACGTGTAAGATCACTGGCAGGGATGATGCCAGCTTAGGCAGCCACCGTCCACTAATCTTGACCCATGTCTTGCCAAAGATTTCAGTTTCTCCAAAAACCAAACAATAGACATTTTTCCTTTCTATTTCATCAATAGGATGTTCCCATGCACTATTCTTCGCCAGAAAGATGCCTCTTAAAATTCCAGAAATTTGGGTTGCACTTAAGATCAGACCCACTCATCTGTAGCTCACAGGCCTGGGGCTAACTTATTCTAAATGAATTGTTGCATTAATATTTGTGACCACTTAATGTCCAGAATAATTATTTATATAGTTCAATATTTCAAGGTTAGGAGAGGAAGGTGATCAAATAAAAGGTTTTGTTGTTCTTGTTCTTTGTTCCCTCTTCTAGTTGGTGTGATTGCGTTAAGATTCTAGGCTCTTGAAAATGTTATATTTCAAATGCAGCCCACACCCGACATATATCAGGAACATCCACAACAAGCCCAAAATGGGCCCTGAGGTGTCCGTGGTCCCAGGGAACAGTTTTGGGGGGGGCCACTGGTGTGGGATTTGCCCACCCCCTCCACTCCCCTGCTTCATGCACTGAAGGTGGAGACAAAGAAACCAACTCAAATCTTTCTAAAGGGTTTTCTTTAAAGAACATGTGTCCTCAGAAGAGCAATAACGGCATATAATGGAATTAGCATAAACGTTTAGAGCCAGGACATCTCTGTCTAAAAGCAGCATCCAGACATGAAGGTAAGCAGGGGTAAATGTCTAGCAACAAACCCTGCCCCTCCTTTTCATTGATCTGTTTTAATTTGCTAAAATGAAATTGCATGGCTGTTGAGTCAGAACGTCTCTCTCATGTCAAGTTTAAAGATAACAGATCTCCTTTTTGGATGGAATATTGGCACACAGACTCCCCACAGTCTGGCTCAGTGCAACTGCTCTCTGTCGGTAGAGGGGTACGGGGATCCCCGCAAGGCCATCTCCACCATCTCACAGCATGCTAGTTAAATGTGCTTCCCCAGGGGCAACAGGGGCAGGTACTTGGGCCCAGAGGCAGGGGAACCCCTAGGACAAGGGGTCAGCACCCCTCACAGGGAGACTAACCTGAAGCTCCAATAACCTGAGGCTCAGCCTGGCCAGCTCCACTGGCTTCCTAAGAGAGCCAAGGGGAAGGCTCTCTGGAAACCCCTTTGAGGTTACTGGGGATCCTGAGGACAAGGCACTGCTTGTGGGGGGAGGACTTGCCCAAACCCCACAGCTAGATGGCCCTCAACACCCCCACCCCCCACCCCTCAACACCCCCTACCCCCACCCCTTGACGAAAAAGGCTCCGGGCGTAACAGGCGAGACTGACAGTCACACCTCTAACCCCCTCCGCCCGGGCAAAGGGTCCCTGTGCGGCATGGCCTCCTGGCTCACCCGCAGATTCTGCTCTCCGGGAAACCCTCCTGGCAGGTAGCGCAGGGACCACCGTGGAGGAGGTGCCACAAACCACGCCGGTATTTGGGCTAAAAGCAGGATTTCTGATGTCATGCATGTGAGGGAGGGGCCCAGGTAGCAAGAGAGCGAATCCCCAGACCTGGGGCGGGCACCGTCCTTCCTGGGACCTTGGCAACGTCAGTCCAGGAATAGAGGCGGTGGGCGGGAGCTGCGAGGGGGGCCTGTGAGTGAGCCCAGCACCCGCTCCGCCCGCCCTCCCTGCCTCCCTCCCTCCCCAGCCCGTGGAAGGACTGACAGCGAAGACTGTGCATGAAGGCAGGTGCTGCTGGGCGAAGCTGAACTGCAGAGGAGAGAAGTTTCTCCTCTGATGCGAGACTTCCTCAGGGCGCTGCACGGGCGGGGGCGCCGGGCACTGACACCTGCACAGACCCACCTCCCCGCTGGGAAGGCAGAGGCCAGGGTAGAGAGGGAGGTTTCTGACCTCTTCCCTGAGCCAAGCACCTGCTGCTCCCAAGCCAGAACAAAACAAAACAAAAAAACAAAAACAAAAAACAAAAAACCAGGCGAAGGCTGCAGGGGCAGAGGCGGAGGTACCACTCCGGTGATGGTGCATCTGGAGCCCCTTCCCGGTGTGCGGAGCCCGGCCCCGACGTGGGCGCCGGTCGCTAGGCACAGGGCGGCCGCGGGCCCCCTTTGTCTGCCCTCCAGCCTCCCCCGATCCCGGGCCCCGGGCTGGTTCCCCCTGCGATCCCAGCGGCGCCCCGGTCCCCGGCAGCATGCCGCAGAGGCAGGCAGGGCAGGCGGTCCCCTCCTCCGGCTCGCGAACCCCACGATCAGCAGCCCGTAACGCACGGCTCCGCTCAGTCCAGGCTCATCAATCACCGCCCGGCTGCTTACCTTCTCGGGGTGCAGTCCGCGCCCGTCCCGGCGCCAGAAGCCCGGTCGCAGTGCCTCCTCGCGGTCCCCGGTCCCCGGTCCCCGGTCCCCGATGCCCGCTGCCCGGTGCCCGCGCCCCACCTGCCGCTGCAGCAGCCGCTCCGGCCCGCGCGCATGAAGTCATCCGGCCGGGCGGACCGCCGCACTGCGCGCCCGCCGCGGGGGGAGCGGCCCGCCCCCGGGGCCCCCGCCCCCCGCTCCTCCCCCTCCGGGGGTTCGGGTGGCTCCCCATTCCAATGCTTTTTCGGGGGGCGCGCCGCGGGGTCGTGGCCAGAGAGAGGGGAGCCGGGGCGGCGGTCCCTGCAAAGCGCCCTCCCCCGCGCGCGCCCCCGCTGCCCGGGCTGCATGGACAGCTCCGAGCCGCCGAGTGGGTTTCCCCACCCCGTTCGCGCTCCCGGCCCCGGTATTGTTCATTTCGCCGAATTCGAGGTCTACTGGCTTGTCTTTTCAGATAAACATTCAAAGGATCCGGAGCGTTTTAAATTGGCCACCCATGTCTGGAAGCCCCCGGAGGGACGCCCCACCCTCCCCGGACGCGAACGCACGGCCGGATCGCTGTCCTGGTGGAAGCGGGGACCTCGGCCCCCGCGCCTACGTCACGGGAGGGAAACTCCCGCCGCCGCTGCGGAGGAGCAGAGAGGGGTCACCCCAGGATAGGTGGCTGCTCCGTGGGGCACGCAGTGGACAGATGTTCCCTCTGACACACGCCCTCTCCCCGTCCCCCCCTCCCACCCGCCCGCTGGCTGCTCGGCTGACAGCTGTGCCATTTGGGAGGCAGGAGCAGAGCCACAGTCACAGATGGTTTTATTCTTTCCTTCCCCTTCCCGGAGGACTGAACAGACTCGGCCTTAGGAACAAGAAGAGCGTACCAGCATAGAAGCCCCCTGCTTCCCTCACCTGCCCCATCTTTCCCCCACCTCCTTCTCCTCTGCAGACCAATGAGCACTTGGGGGCTTAAGAGGGGGGTGGGAGGGGAGGGGAGCCAAGGGTTGCTGTCTTATAGCCAAGCCTAGGGTTCTTTTATCAAGGCTGAGACACTCCCTCCAGGGCAGAAGGGTCCTTGTCTCTAGAGCTGGCTCATTGACCTTGCCTTGCTTTTGTTTTTTGGGTTTTTTTTAAATATATATTTTATTAATTTGTTACAGAGAGGAAAGGAGAGGGATAGAGAGTTAGAAACATCAATGAGAGAGAATCATTGATCAGCTGCCTCTTGCACACCTACTGGGGATGTGCCACAACCCACGTACATGCCCTTGACCGGAATCAAACCTGTGACCTTTCAGTCCGCAGGCTGAAGCTCTATCCACTGAGCCAAACCTGTTTCAGCAACCTTGCCTTGCTTTTGAACCCGTCACCAGGTCCAGGCCAGCCTTCAAATGCGGGTTTGACCAGGGACCTGACAAGTGCATTGCACACGTGGGAAGCACCTTTGCTCTATAAAATGTTCCCATCCTCCTTTGCCAGCCCCCAAACTGGGAGGCAGAGTAGCAACGGGGGTTCCAACAAAACTCGGTGAGAAACTTTGGCCCTAGAATGTGTGTTGTATGAAAGGCAGAACAAGCCAGCTCATGCCTCTGAGCCCCACACTCAGAGCATTAGGCCATTCATGTCAACACAGCTCAGGGGATCCCTAACTTGTATCTAAGGGGTAAGTAGGTCTGGGTGGCAATAGGACATCTTTCGTTTCACTAACTGCAAACTGAAATTTGGCGTTTCCTGTAAATACACATGCAGAGAGCAAACCACAATAATAGGAGCACAATGGAAGCCACAGATAATTTTTTATTGCACCTTTTATAGATTACTCTGATGTTCAAATCAAACCATCACTACCTTTTTTGTTGTATTTAGTAAACTGTATTTTAGAATGTCACGTGGAAAAATTAAGTAGATAGTCAAGTTCCCATTTCTACTTTCTTCCATCACTAACACCTTGCATTAGTATTGTACTTTTGTTACAATTCATGAACTAGTATTCATACATTAATGTTAACCAAAGTCAGTGCTTTATTCAGATTTTCTTGGGGTTGACCTGATGTCCTTAATTCTGTTCCAGGCTCCCATCCAGGACACCCCATCCCGTTTAGTCGTCATGACCCTTTAGGCTTCTCCGGGCTGTGGTAATGCGTCAGCCTTTTCTTGTGTTGGATGACCTTAACAGTTTTGAGGAGTGCTGGTCAAGTCTCTTGCAGCACGCCTCATTCCTGTCATCTCTGTCTGACGTTTTTCTCGTGATGAGACTGGGGTTATGGCTTGTTGGGAGAACAACCTCAGAGCTAAAGCACCATTTTTATAACATCCTGTCAAAGGCATATGCTATCGACGTGGTTTATTTATGCCTGTTGTTGACCTTGATCACCTGGCTGAGGCAGGGTCCCGGGTTTCTCCCCTGGGAGGTTACGCCTCTGCCCCTTCGGTATGTCCTTGCCGGAAGGAAGTCACTGTGTGGAGCCCACACCAAAGGGTGAAGAATTGGATCCACCTCCTTGGGGACAGAGTATGTGCATGAAGCGTTTGGAATTCTTCTGCAGTGACATTTGTCTACCGCCCCCCCCCCCCCAAGTTAATTTATTCAATTACTTATGTCAGTATAAACTCGTGGATATTTATTTTGTAGTTTGGGTTTTAATGCAATGCTGCTTTGTTTTGTTGTTCTAACATTCCAGACGTGGCCACTGGAGCTCTTTTGGCATACTCCCTTGGTGGGGGGAAGGGGTGTTTTGTGTGTGAACACTTTTTTATTTCCTGGCACTGCAAAGATGCTCCAAGCTTTTCTTATACTATTTCCTGCCCCAGTCCTAAAATCAGCCATTTCTTCAAGGAGCCCTAATTCCTTTTATTGAATAGAAAACAAGATTTGGGCCCTATGTGTGCTGATTGCTAATGAGGCATCATTTGTTTAGGCTCTCTTAACTGAGAGAGCAAAGAAATATTATGTATAACCCATGTATGGGCACCTGTCTAAAAGTGTTTTGATATTGATCTAAATGCATGCATACAGATTTCTTCAACTCTAATCCATTAACACATGAACCATTTTAGCTTCTACCCTTTGCTTGTCTGTAAATTCCTTCTCTAATAGTGGGAAATGTTGCTCCCACCACTCATCATCCATTTAGTTAATTGTTCCATTCTAGTCCATGTGGCTAGAGGTAACTCATTCTCCCTGCATCACTATTGTTAAATATAGTAGTTAGTAGAGCCACTGTTACACCTTGTTGTTTAATGAGCTTAAATATTTCATTTATTTCATTGGATACATTTGTATGTCACAAATTTGCATTATAAATTGATCATTAGCTTCCTTTGAAAGTCTCTTATAGTTTGTGAATTTAAAGTGTTATTTTAAGAAGAGTTGCATAGGGCTATTCCAGATTGTCACAATGATCCGAGGCAAGTAAAAAGGTTAAGGTCCAACCACTGAGATAGTGAGGTGGTGTGAAATTGCTTGGTGCCAGCAATAGGGGGTGCTCACCCTTATAAATGTTATCCTTGCCGATGTAGGCAGGCTTCTATCTCCTTTTAGAGTTCTCAGTACCTTGGAAGAGAGAACATGCTAAACCTGGTGGCTAATAATTTGTCATTTAGCTGGAGGGTTCATTAGGTATCAGGTGTTGGAGGTAAAAGGTTTTATGAAGTTAAGGGGAGGGAGGACGAGAAGGTGATGAGGACAGGAAGACTGAGATGTCTGAGTTCAGGGCTTTTGTAACTGAACACATCTGGGCTGGGATTCTTCCATCTCCAGGCTGACTTTGTCTCATTTTTGAAATAAGGACAACACAGACTATTACAAAGGTTTGTCCTTGAGAGTGACGGTGGAAGTTTAGCTTTTTCTCCCATTGGTATGAGGCAGTGGGGGATTACGTGTGGTGACATGGGAAGGTCCCAGACATACCTTAGCATCCCTCCCGGTGTGGTTTCCATTCTGGAAAGCCAGACCCCCTGGAGGTAGAAACAGTTTCTCAGGGTAATTGAGGCTCCTTCACCCATCAAACAACTCTTGCCATGGAAGAGACTTCTTGTAGATGGTGCTGAGAAAAAGACAAAAATGAAATATGTTAAATGTCAGGAACTAATTATCTTAGTACCTCTGGACAGATACAGTGTCACAACTAAAGGCATGAGAGACCTAGGAAGGAAAAGATAGCAAGATGAAAGATGTCTGAATGTATGTTTTTGGGCCTGGACCTACACCAGTATGCCAGATGATTGACTCAGCAGAGGCCAGCCTGAGGTGAAACAAATCAGTGTTTTACTCCATGACTTTTCACTGCATGCTCCTTATAAAAACAGTCTTTGGACTGTGACTCTGAGGTCTGTCATGCTTCCTTCCTGATTGTTTGGAATTAGGGATCAAATGGCCTAATGAGATCATGTGAAACCCAAGCCCGAGGCCTGTGTTGTGTCCCTGGAGCTGCCAGCCAGCAGTAGAATCACTTTTTGAGTTAGGGAGTCCTTCCAGAAGAGGCTCATTTAAATGCAAATGCACTACCGGGAGGGGTAACCTTGTATTGAGTATCTCATTAGAAAGCCATTAACAATCCAGCAGAGATTAGCTTCTCAGATTTATTGTGAGAGGAGCTATCTGGGTGATTTGGCCCAAGCGTATGTCCCCAGTGAGTGCCAGGCCTCCTCTTCTCATCACTCCACAGGGGTCTGCCGGAAGCTGGGCACTTGCTTCACCAGGAAAGAGTTGGGCACTTAGTACACGACAGTCAGTATTGTTTTATATAATTTTGATTTATGAGAAAGGGTAGGAGGGGAATTTCTATAATAATAGTGTGTATGTGGTGTGTGTGTGTGTGTGTGTGTGTGTGTGTGTGTGTGTGGTGGCCAGTTGATTGGGGTTGATTCATTATGCTTTATAGAAATCTTACAATTTTATGACAAATGTCTACTCTTTCACTGAGCTCAGAAGATATATCATGTAAAATACATACAAATGTAATTCAGGGACAGCAAGGCTATGGTAATAGAAATAGAGTTGCATTCAATAGACACGTTAAGACTTTTCTGCATTAATATGAAAGCACTGATACAAGAAAATGCACACTCAGATAAAGCTTGGTATTAGG